CTCGTACACCCTTGGTGTTGTGGTCGGCCTGTTATGGTTTGACTTGCCTGTGTCTCCACGACCCTTCCATTGTCCTCCTTTAAGCTGAGGGCACTCCGTTTTGTAATGCCCATTCTTGCCGCACTGGAAGCAAGTCACGGAGCCGCTTCCACCAGACTGGTCTGAAGGTCGACTTGGTGGAGTACAGTTTTGAATCGTATGATCCATACTGCAACATCGTACACAAGCCCCCATGGCTTTCCAGCATTCACCTGGGTGGTTCTTACCACATTTGGAACATGTAGGTCGGCCACCAGAGGTCTTACCTCCGTCCACCTGGTCCCATTTCCTCTTCTTGTCATTAGTCTTGCCTGGTGGGGCAGACTGTGACTTAGTCTTAAGCTTAGCTTCTTCAGCCAAGTTAAACTCCAGAAGAGCCACTCGTTCAACCAGCTCACTAACGGTGTCGAAGGTGCGGATCGAGCAGTGGATCTTCAGTTCCGGCCTTAGGCCTCTCAGGAACCGACAGACCTGTACTGTCTCGTCCTCAAGCTCCCTTCCAACATATCGTCGGAGTCGGTTGAACTCTTCCTCGTACTCTCGTACAGTCCTGCGGCCCTGGACCAAGTCTAGGAATTTGGATTCCAGACGGTCCCATGCCTCTGCAGGGAAGTATTTGCGGTTGAATTCTACTTCAAATTCCGCAACACTTTTGAGAGTTCCATTGGTGCGCTTTTCTATAGCCCACCACCAATTATGTTCTAACAACTTCAGATAGTCCACGTTTTTCACAACCTTTACAGATGGATCGATCTCAATCACCTCAGTTGTTTTCTGAACAGTACCATCAGATATGGGCTGTGTTAGGGTGTCCACCCGCTTACCCATTTGCGTAATGGCCTCTAACACATCCTTCATGGATGGTTCCCCGGTCTGGTGCCCTGCACCATCAACCGCCTCAGTACGTGGGTTCACATTACGTCCAGCGTTAAAGGATTCTACTACCTCTACCCACTCTCGCTCATGTTCCCCAACTGTACCCTCGACATACCCATCAGCGAGGTCAACTGGATCCTTGGTTGCTCCTGCACCGTTGTTAACTACAACCGGATTGGTTGGTAACATGGTTGGAGTGACCTCATCCGCCACCACTCGGCTAGATTGTCCAGTCGATGCCTTCTTCTTTCAGGACTTTCCTGATTTCCTTTTCCCAGCCTAAGGAATTTCAAAAATTGTTAGTACACAATATACATAACATAAACGAAAACAAACAATCCCTAGACCTTTCTATCAAACCTCACCGTGAGACCTAGTCAGGTGGCTGCAAGTGTGGACTACCTAACCCAACTATCCTAGAATCAAGCATGCTCTGATACCAACTTGTAACACCCAAATCCTGGTCACTCAACCATTCTGGACCCGATGGTCTTACTTATTAATTTCTTGCTTGTTTGATTCTTTTTAAGTATTTTATTTACTAAGTCATATTCAGATATGAGGTTCATAAACAATCAACATATAGCACAGCGGAATATAAATATGTTTATGTATTATTACTTAGAAACTAGGGCTGGGAAAAAAAACGAACCCGAAAATCCGAACCGAATCCGACCCGATAAAAAGGAACCCGAACCGATCCGAACCCGACATAAGTACCGAATGGATCTTGTTTTACGGTATTACGGGTTATGGGTATTACCCGAACCGAACCCGAACTTAAATGGATATCCGAAAGAATCCGAAACTTTAAAATTCCAAAAAAAACTTGTATCATATCCAATCTAAATTTCTAATATGTTTCCAAAACAGATTAATATATTATTGAGTACCTACAATAATTAGTTATGATATAAATAATTAGCTCAAATATTTAGTCTAATATATATTGTTACTAGGTGATTTTCCCGTGCTCATGCACGGGTATAAATATTTATTAAATAAATATACTATAATAATTGATTACTATTTACTTTTAATTTTCAATTAATTTATAATTTGCATACATGATTTATATTAATAATATTATTTTACTTTAATTAGACATATTATTTTAGAAATATTATATCTAGTCAATTTTATTACTTTATAGTCGATTTTACTGTTATTATTTGGGTATATTAGATTACATTCTTTTATCTGAATTCAACTATAATATTTTTTATTCTAAATATATTAAATTTTGATTAATTCTATTATTTACTTTTAGGTTGTTTGCTGTCTCAGATGTCAATATATTTTAGAAAAGTTATTTATAACTTAAGATATATTATGCCTATAATGAAATATAAAANATTTTACTGTTATTATTTGGGTATATTAGATTACATTCTTTTATCTGAATTCAACTATAATATTTTTTATTCTAAATATATTAAATTTTGATTAATTCTATTATTTACTTTTAGGTTGTTTGCTGTCTCAGATGTCAATATATTTTAGAAAAGTTATTTATAACTTAAGATATATTATGCCTATAATGAAATATAAAATTATTTTGATTTCAAATTACATCAATCGATATAAAGATAATCTTTGAAGTCTCATGCATATATATAAATTTCACAAAATAAATCAAATTAAAGTAATATTATTTATCATTTAAATGTGCACGTATTTTCTTAATATTTATCAAGTATATGTTTCTTTAAAATATAGTAGAAAATAAATCAATAATCAGTAGGAAGTTACATACTTAAGTAACTTATATATTTCTGGAGATTCATGAACACATATCAATGTTTACAATATCTAAAATATTTTATAAATTCTAAATAATTTTATATCTTAGATTTATTGAATGATAAACTGAAATAATTTTAAATAATCTTAAAGATGAGAATTCGGATTTGCTTTGGTATTTTTATTATGGTTATATTAAGTTACACAAACATAAAATTTTTTTAAAAAATTTAAAATTAAGAAACATAGAATTTAAATAATGATAGAATATAACATATCTATGTCATTAAAGTATATAGTGGTATGATATTTTAAAATATTTTTTAATTAATTGATTAAAAGATGTTTATTGTTAAAAATTATTTTAATTTCTCTTAAAAATAAGCAGTAAAAATTGTGGTTGTATTTGAGAAATCATATTATATAAGTAAAATTTAATTTATAGATATTTTTTTTGCTTTAGTTGAAAGATACTATAGTCAACTAAATATATGAAAATAAATAAAATATTCAATAACTTTAATTAAAAACCATTTTAGTTAATAAAAAACATATACTTGTTTATGTTACTTAAAATTATGTTTAAAAGTAAATTTTTTTTTTTCAAATATCAAAATTATATGTGTGAATTTTTTGTTATGAAATCACATTATATAAAATATATATTTCATATAAGAAAATACAGATATAAAGAAAGTATTTTATTAATTAAAAAGTACATTTTATGTTATTTAAAATATTTTTAATGGATGTTACTATTTTTTAAATTTTCCCTTTTAATGAAATCATATTATATAAACATATATTTTCGTTTTTAATTTTTCCTTTTAAATTTTATAGATGTTTTTTTCTATTATAAATTTTAGTTGGAAATTTTTAAAAAGGAACTAAATACAAAATTAATAATATTATTTTACTATTTTGATAGTATATTACTATTTTGTGAACTTTCCTTTTTAATGAAATCATATTATATAAACATATATTTTCGTTTTTAAATTTAATAATTTTTCTTTTTTATTATACAAGTTATTTGGAATGTTTTAAAAAGGAAACTAAACATAAAATTAATAATATTATTTAAATATACTATTTAAATATATTCATTAAGGGTATCATAGTAATCAACCAGTGTAAGAGTCAACGTGAACGCGCCACATAGGAAACTGACTTCTCAAATAATATTATAGAGATTTGGTTAATATTAATGTTTATGATTGACATTACATTTGAAGTTAAGTTACGAATAAATTTGTTTTGAAGTTTATATAATGTTGTTTTTTAAAGTTTAGATAGTACTTCTTATGTTTATAGAATTGTTAGTTGTTAACTTTAATTTTTTATTTTTAATTATGTATTATATTTCGTTCATACAAGACTTTGGTTTGTCATTAATCATGATATGTTTAGTGTTGTCACATATAGTTTAATGACAAATCTTATATGGTCGATAGATGAGTTTCACAATATTATTTTAAGGGAGAACAATATGGTTTGTAGAAGCTAAATACACAAATTTAATAAAATGATTGAAAATATAGTGAGTTTAATTGAGTATAAATTAGTATTTTTAGAACCGATAACCCGATTAGTATCCGAAACCGAAACTATTTCGGGTTCAACCGGATCTTGGACATGTTACTAAACCCGAACCGAACCCGACTAAACCCGAACCGAANCACAAATTTAATAAAATGATTGAAAATATAGTGAGTTTAATTGAGTATAAATTAGTATTTTTAGAACCGATAACCCGATTAGTATCCGAAACCGAAACTATTTCGGGTTCAACCGGATCTTGGACATGTTACTAAACCCGAACCGAACCCGACTAAACCCGAACCGAATCCGACCCGAATTTTTATAATATCCGAATGGAGCTGAAATTCATGAACCCGAAAACCCGAAACCCGAATGAACCCGAACCGAAACCCGATTGGGACCCCGATTGCCCAGCCCTAATTGACATGTTAATTTTTATCCATTTTGACATCCCTAATATTCACCGAAGAATAAAAATTTAGAAATTTACGTATGTGTTATATTTTTAATTTTTTAAAACGACTAATTATTAAAATTATTAAAATTCTCACATTTAAAATTTTGTAATTAATGATTTTTTTTTTTTGTAACAAGATACAATCTAAAAATAATAAAAGGAGAATATCTTCCATAGAAATGTCGGCCAATAAGCCGATGATCTATCAGCTTTAGTTCCACGTATTACACAAACAAATTGACAGAACATTTTTTTACATCTAAATGCTTTCACTTCAGCTTCTTCGTTTTAATTGTTACCCTAATTCGTTTCTTCTTCTAAAATCAGTGTTTACCATCAATAAATGTCAAGAAAATCTTTTCATATTCTGAATCCACAAATCTATCCTGTAAAAATCTGCCATGTCCTCCTCAGTTGCACCGTCATGGATTACGGGGCAACCAAAGGCATAGCCCTCCGCCATGTAGATCCTGATGCTGGCAAACGACACCAACTTCATGATCGAACTCTGCTCCGATCCACACTTGACATAAAACTAGAAAACCTTCACCGGAGTTTACTTCTTCTCTCCCGCCGGCGTGTTGGCTTAATTAGGTTCTGTACTTATCATCTGCCTTCGTCTTTATCCTCGAATAATGGTTCAACTCCAGAGTCCTTGAACGAGAGGTATTGTTATTCAGTTGATCTTTACGCCCAACGGGTTAGTTCCCTATAATCCTTCCTTCTTAACAACAACGATGCTCTGACACAGTCTTAACCACACTGATCTTTGATTTTGATCCAATCTAAAAATTTTAAAAGCTTATTTGCACATCTGTTATAAGCAATCACTGATTGATTCTTTGGTAACGCCAAATTAAAGCTCGCAAGTGTAACATACGTGAAGGATGTTGTGTCTGGGTCGTGGGCATTACAAGGTTATGTATGATGTCTCTCTCTGTTTTCCAATTTTCTAATCGATTTGTTATGGAAGCAGCGGCGTTATCATCTGGGTTTAGCCCTTTTCTGAACCCTAACGTTTACAGATCTCCGAGGTTAGGATATATTCTCAATTCGATGTTGGTTTAGTTCGATTAGATTAGTATAAATGATGACGATTGGTTTTTAATGTCTTTGCAATCTCTGTGTTTGTTTGTGCTTTGTTTTGACTCTTCATTTGTTTTCAAATTGCAAGTTTTGATTCAGATATATGTTTTATTACCGGTAAAAGTAGATTTGAATCGTATCTGTTCTTACTTGATTGATGTTAACCATTAACAGTGAATGTGATTACTGCTTGGTGTAGAGTTTAAGGTTTCATGTCATAACTTGCTTGTTTTTTTAAGGAGACACATATTTGTCGTGAACTTATTCTGTTTCTTGAGATGTTGATCCTTAATTTCTGAATTTGGTGGTTTGATTTATGTTTATTCTAAGGAGTTGTCTCCGGTGCAGAGGACAAAAGGGCAGAGCTTTACATTGAGTGTGCATTGTATATAGATGGAGCTCCTTTTGGCCTTCCCATGAGAACAAGGTTTCTTCTCATTTTATAGTCGCTTCTTGATTGTGCACTGTGTTGTGATGTTGATGTTGATGACCTTTGTATAAGCGTTTCCATGTCTCATGTAGCTCTCTCCTTAATTCCAGATTGAACACTACAGGACCAGCATACTTGTGGAACGAACTCATCACTCTCAGTTCAAAATATCGTGACTTGACTGCTCACTCGCAAGCTGCCATCACGGTTAACAAATCGATTACTTCCTCCGTTTTCTTTTTCTGCTTTTCTAAGAGTTCTATGTTTGTTATCAGGTATGGGATGTTTCGTGCAGAAAAGATGAGGGACTGATTGGCAGTGCCACGATCCTTCTCTTTAACAGCAAGATGCAAATGAAATCAGGAAAGCAGAATCTTAGGCTCTGGCAAGGGAAGGAAGCTGATGGTTCATTTCCCACCTCTACTTCTGGAAAGGTTTCTTGATCAATCTCAATACTAGATTATTGTATCGAAATATTCTTCTTTATGTCAACTTTCTTACTCTTGGTATATGTAATTTTCTATACTCTAGGTTCCACGGCATGAGCGAGGTGAGGTAGAGCGTTTGAAAGGGGGCAGATCGAAAGAATTGATTGGCTGGACCGACTTATGTTGAAATCCTTGGATAAGATCAAGGAACAAGAGGCTCTAAACATGGAAACTCATATCTCTACTTGGTTATTGATTTTGGTAGTTTTGAACAACGAGTTACAGTCTATCGGTCTTTGACCGTTTTATTTGTGGAAACATAAATAATAATTGGGAATTTGCTAAAAGGGGACCGAAAAACACAACTATTGTCTCCTTGGAATAAAATCAAATTTTGGCACTTTTGAACCTTCACTACCCTTTTTGTATATAAAAATTCAAAGTAAAAAATTCACAAGGTAAAAAATTGAGGAAAAATATACAATATAAAATAGAGTAGCATGTCAATATATGAAAAATATTTTTACATTCAAAAAATGTTTGGAATAGTAATCTCAAAAATTGGATAAATCGGGTAGTAAATCAGATCTACCATCTACGGCGGTTCAGAATGTACAATCTACTAACAACTAATCCATTTAATGGGCTTAGAATGCGTAACACACCAAAAACATATACATCTACGATTGAATAATATGATAACTGACATTCCTTCTTTGTTATGCAGTTTCAGTAGAACATAGCATATAATAAAGACCCATTCGTCTACCTTGGCAGAACATATCTTCTTAGTTTTAATGTTTTGTCTACGCTCGTGTGATTACGTTTCCACTGGTTAAACTAATGGAAAATTTGGTAGAATGTATCTTCTACCAACGGTTTATGAGCCACCATCCGAAAATCTAGCAAAATCTAAAAGTAAATATTCTCTAAATATTTTTATTTCCTTTTTTAATATATTTTGCCTTGAACGTGGGTCTTCTTCTTCTTCTTCTCACCGTGAAAAAACCTCTTCTAGTCTTCTAGTTCTTCCACTTCCACGCTATCTAACAACGAAGATGCACATGTATACTTCATGTGGTTCGTGGAACTCGTCTGTAAGTAATGGATGGCGATTTGTTATTGATGAAGGAAAAGGAGGTAGGTTACAAACTCTGGACACAAGTTCATCTTTTGAACACCTGAAGTTGATCGTGTGTGAAGACTTTGGAATTGATCTATACATGGTCAATAAGTTGAGTTACTTACCTTCAGATTTGATGAATAGCATCAACTCGCCACCTGTTTTCATCACCAATGATAGGCAACTCAAAAACTTTCTAACATATCTGAAGATCAGAGCTTCTACGCGGTTATGTGTGTGTGTTCGATCTAAGGTGGATACAAGGAATATCAACGTCGAATTTGACTTGAATGAAGAATGGACTACTGAGTCGCCTAAGAGAGAGGAAGAGCGTGTGGTGCACGTTATTGATGATCAAACCATGGTTGAAGAAGAAGATGATAACCTAGAGGAAAAGGATGACCAAGACATGATCAATGGAAAGCCTGTCCGATTTTCTTTGGTTCGTGTTGTGAAGAAGGGTCAGTATTTTACAAGCAAATTGGCTTTGAAGGCGACATTAGAAATCTGCACAATGAAACACAATTTCGACTATAAGCTTGTCAAATCAGATACAAAAGTTTGGTATATTCGTTGTGCAGATGATGATTGCACATGGCGTTTTCGTGCAGAAGGATTAACAGGGTCTTCATATTTTATTATCAGAAAGTATGTACCTTATCATACATGTGCTCCATCATCAAGGAGCAATTCTGTCCGCACAGCTTCAGCAAAAACTGTTGGTTCCCTCGTAATGCACAAGTATGAAAGCACTAACGAAGGTCCGAAACCTAATGACATCATCAGCTATATGCATGATGAGCATGGAGTTGAGATATCATATTCTTTAGCATGGGATGCCCGTGAGTACGCAATAGACATAGTGAGAGGTATTCCTGAGCAAGGTTACGCTAAAATTCCCAAATACTTGCACATGATGAAGGAAGCTAATCCAGGAACACACACGGCTTATGAAACCGATACCAATGGGAGATTTAAATTCCTCTTCATCTCATTTGGTCAGTCACTTCGTGGTTTTCATGCTGCCATTCGGAAAGTTATTGTTTTGGATGGAACTTTTTTGAAAAGCAAATACAAAGGAGTATTACTGGCTGCTACTGCTATGGATGGAAACTCAAATTTATATCCTATTGCATTTGGAGTTGTCGACTCCGAGAATCACCGCTCATGGGACTGGTTTATGAGACAGCTTAAATTTGTCGTTGCTGATGATCACAGTTTAGCTTTTGTCTCTGATAGGAACATTTCAATTGGCAAAGCTCTTGTGGACGTGTATCCGCAATCTCATCATGGAATTTGCATTCACCACTTGATCAACAATGTAGTAACAAGTTACAAGGGAAAAGGCGTCGCTGGTTTGGTTGCAAAGGCTTCTAAAGCCTATCGAGTTGCTGANTAACAAGTTACAAGGGAAAAGGCGTCGCTGGTTTGGTTGCAAAGGCTTCTAAAGCCTATCGAGTTGCTGATTTTCAGAAGATTTTCAGTGCTATTTGGTCCATTGATCCTCTAATAGGCAACTACCTAATAGAAGCAGATGTGACAAAGTGGGCTCGTTGTGCTTTTACGGGTTACATGTATGATATTAGGACCACTAACCCTGCTGAATCCATAAATGCTGCTCTCCGTTCGCCAAGAGAGTTTTCAGTTATAGCTTTGTTGGACAGCATAAGGGAGATGATGAGTCGATGGTTTTTTCAGCGTAGAACTTTAAGTGCTAAGCATCCGCAGCCACTGACCATTGCTGTGGAGAAGAAGATTGACCGGAGAATTGAGAAGGGTAAGAAGTTTAGAGTATTTCCAATTACTGACGATAGCTTTTTGGTTCAAGGCGACACTTTTGATTGCATGGTTGACTTGGTCACACGCTCATGTAGTTGTGGGAAGTTCGATTTGATGAAAATCCCATGCAGGCACGCTATAAAAGCAGGTTTCAGTGTAGGGATACAACCACACACACTCACTGACGACGTGTACACCACTGCCTCATGAAACTCGGTCTATGAAGAAAGTATAAATCCTATTAGTGTTCCAGAAGATGCATGGAGTGTCCCATCTGACATCGCCCAGTCAACAATCCTTCCTCCACCAACTAGACAAGCTGCAGGTAGGAGAAGAAAACGCAGATATGTGACGGCTGAAGATAAGATCCGTTCTTCACAAGGAACCCAAGGCTCTAAACGTCGCAAATGCAGTCGATGTGGCATTGAAGGTCACAACAGGACAAGATGCATTAGAGCAATATAGGAATGCGGTCCTTTCATGTTTTTCTTTCATGTTGAACTCTCTTCTTTCATTTAAACCTCTGTTTTTTGAACGCATTTTAGGCATAAACCTCTGTTTTTGTTTTTTTGCAAGTTGTCTTTCATATTCATGATCCGTTTCATGTTGATTTTAGTAGTGTTTTTGATTTATATTGAATTTAGATGTCTTTGGAACATGTCAATAACACTAGAAATCCATTACTTGTTCTTATTCAATGTAGATATAAATAGAAAAACATTACAAAATATCAATCAAATTTTGAACAGAGACATAAAATACTGAGAATGGATCCTACACAACCAACATCTCGAGAGGCTTTATGGTTCATAACTTCTTCTTCCACCATCTTCAACGAAACACGTAGATCTTCAATTTCTCCTGCCATGAACGCTTAATGGTCATCCATCTTTTGAATCTCTTCATACAGAGCCTCATCCACGCACTTAAAAAGATGTTGCTCTTTTTTTCTCTGATTCGGAACAGAAAACAAATTAAGTCTCAACACAGAAGAATTGATAAGTATTTATATATGACATTTACCTGTAAAGCAATCTCACATCTGAAGAACCGTTGGTATGGATTCTCATCTGTTTTTGAAACATAAGTGACAATCCCCCTCCCACACCAGCATCTGCGAGGGATTCCTTCAATGTTGTTCATGTTCGCCATATTTTCGAAAAGAAGAAAGAAAGACGATGAGGAAAAGTGGCCAAATTAGGGTAGATGATATACGTAAGTAACTCTCAAATTAGGATAGAGGAGGGGAAGTATAAATATTTTTTTTCATCCACATAAAGCAACGGTTCGCTTTTGGTCAGTGGAATACAATATGGAAAAATATCCACTAGGTAATGGGTTCGAATCCCAGGAGTAACAACATTTTTTAATTCTTTATTCAGGCAGGGTTTAGGGTTTCATTTTTGTTTAGGGTATGAATTTACCAATCAATATCCAGAGCTTCGAATTAAAAAAAAAAATACTTGCATACCCGGAGGCTCGAACTCAGGTTTAGAGGGAGAAAGTAGAGGTAGTTTAACAGCAGAGTCATTGTCATTCATTGGTAATCACCTTTGACTCTAACTATATATCAGCTTTGTGATTAATAAAAAAATACAAAAGTTGCATACCCAGAGGCTCGAACCCAGATTTACAGATCGTATATGAACTAAGCAATGGCAATGTCAATGGCAATAGGAACTTAAACATAGAAGAAGAGCAATGACAATGTATTACAATACACACAAACATACAAACATAGGAACTTAAACATAGAAGAAGAGTAATGACAATGTCATTAGAATACAAGCTAAGTCATAACATAGCATTAGAAGAAGAACAAAGGGACAACACACAACCAACATGCAAACAAACAACCACCAAACTACACATTCTTGCTGCTCGAATATTGACTCAGTATTTCCCTGCACTCTTTTCTTTCCGGACATACACACATCAGTGGAGCAGCTATCCCATCTCCGACGACATTGAAGACAAACAAGTCTCCTATGTCGCATCTGTTATCACGACAGAACTTCGTCCACCCTCCTCTGATGTAATACATGCTCCCTGATTCGCTGAATATCAAATTCGCAGTCCATGAGTTTCCCTCCTTGTTCACAAGTATCACCTCTTGGCATTGTTTGTTCAGAGCAGTACAATGCGTAGCTTCCACAGGAAGATGCTGCAAACACATAACAAATAATAAGTTAGTCTTCTTAAGATTTAAAAAAAAAATTGTTGCATACCCGGGGCATCGAACCCAGGTTTACAGGGAGAAAGTAGAGGTAGTTTACTAGCAGAGT